GTCCTCCCTACATCCCTACATCCTTCCAGTCTTATAGCCGGCCTCCCAAAATCTACTCACCCTTACTTTCCTGTGCTTCTCGCAATCCGCAGCGAACATTCTAGCTATCATCTGTTGATCACCCACCTTCAAGACTAGAACGTTGTCTCCAGATAACACTTGTGTTCTGTGCCAGAGTGTGCCCAGGAGGAGTGATGGAAGGAAGTGACGGAGGATGATATGGCCTCTCCCATCTCACTTCTACTGACCGTGCAGTGAATTCTTCCTGGGTGGAAGATGCCAGTGTTGGCTTTGGTGGTACTCCATTGCCCAGCGTCATGCCTTCCAGACAGATAGCAGTCTGGAAGTGCCTGGGACACTGCACATTTGAGGAAGTATCAATGCTCACCTTTTCAAGAGCTTTGCTTCACCCCCTTACTGCCTATGTTAGGCCCCAAATATCAATGTAGCTTCATACATGTTGCATGATGAATAGACAACTTCTGTGAGGACAATTCTCTTTCTCTCAAATAGTCCTTAGCTCTGTGCCCACCTGAATTCCATTGGGTCCTTTTGTGAAGCATTTTGCCCAGCAGCAACACAAATGGCCTTCCAAAAAGGCCCCATCAAATCCTCAAGGCCAGAAACCTACTTATTTCTTTTGTTATTATTGTTTTGGTAAATCAAACACACCATGTAAAACTATCGTGTTCCATCCTTAAAGTTTCTTTATCAAACCTTATTTGAGGTTTCTCTTTTCCATGGTTAGTTACTTGATGTCAATTACAGGCTGGGAATATTAAATGGAAAATTTCAGAAATAATTAATAAATTTCAGGCTGTACTACATCCCTCTGAGTAGTAGGAGACCTCATACTGTCTCACCTAGGACATGCTACATCTGTTATGCCCAAGGCATGCATGCTCCACACATCAAATGTACTGCACATGTAGCCCCCTTGGTTGTCAAATTAGTTCTCACAGACTCACAAAGCTGGTGTTCAAGTTACCTTTATTTTTGTAATCATGGCCTCAAATGACAAAAGGGCAGATCCTGATCATTTTATCACTGCATACCGTTCTAATTCATTATTGACTATTAGTCATCTCTTTCCAAACCTAATTTATAAATTAAACTTTATTGCAGGTCCGTAAAGAAATCTGTATGTACAGGTTTCAGTATTACCAACAGCTTCAGATATCCAGGGAGCAGAGATTCTGAATGGAGGGGTTGGCTATTAAATCCACCCCCCCCCCCAGAATACTTAACTTCTGTATGAGAGAGGAGGAGTGCAAGAGGTGACCTAACCAGGGGGATCATGTTTGCTTGTTGGAGCCTTTACATCCTCGCCCTCCGCCTGTGTGTGTGTGTGTGTGTGTGTGTGTGTGTGTGTTAAAGAATCTCTTAAATCCAAAAGTTCCTCAATTTTTTTTTCAATGTATCAGTAAGTGGAATTTTACTCCAAGGCTTCAAGTCTTTAGCAAACTATAGTTCACCCGCACTTCAGTTTAACCAAACACATTAATCTCCAATTCTCTCTGAACAAATACAGTATTCCATTTCCCTTTGATTCAATGAAGCAAACCCGAAACAGCGACAGCTACTGTCCAAACACCAATACCTGCTATTTCTATTTTCATAGTCCTCATGCCCACCGTCTCTTCAAATATCCCAACCCCTGGTATTCCTTATCAGTCCTTTCAAGGTCTTTACTTCATCCACTCTTCCCTCTTTCCATCTCCACAGCCCAGGAGAGCCAATTTGCTTGAGGCATCTTTTTTTTTTCTCTCTTTAAAAAAAAAAAAATCCCTTGGTCACTTCCTTGTGCCCAAGATAAAGGATGCTTGCCCTGGTCTGACACAAGCACTCCAGCTTCTCTGCCCAAGTTTCTCGTTCTCTGGGCTCCCTCCACAGGGACTCTGTTCCTCCAGCTGTTCCATCTAACAACCCTGTTCTTGCTTCCCCTGAGAGAAGCCACACTCATGACCTAAACAACACAACACATCACAACCATTCTGCCATCGGACACACTCATTGCCACACACGTTCTCTTCTCCTTTCAATAAATTTGTAGTTCTTAGCCGGGTGGTGGTAATGCCCCCCACTCCGGAAGCAGAGTTAGGCGGATCTCTGTGAATTCGAGGCCAGTCTGGTCTACAGAGCAAGTACCAGGACAGGCTCCAAAGCTACAGAGAAACCCTGTCTCGAGAAACAAACAAACAGTAACTCTTTGTTCATGCTATTATATATATCAGGCTTGCCTTGGCAACCGGTCTAACAGCTCCCTGAAGACAGGGCCCGTGTCTATTTTGTTCGATACTTTACATTTCTAGTGCCTGTGACCCAGCTTCACATGTAGACACTTAGGAAGTGCTTGGCAAATGAATGCAGTCTGCAACAGATATTAAAACAATTCTTTTAACATCAATGTCTTTCTTTTTAGATATAAGCATACTCGGGCCAAAAGTCTGATGATTTTAATTCTAGAGAAAGGAAAAAATAAGTAGGACCCTGCCTTTCAGAGAAAAGAATGACAAGTTAGTCCCAATTTATTCATATGCTTCTTTACTATGTCCAGATTAATCGGACTGTAATCAGACACATACTGTTCCCCCTAAACAACTAAGTACTCAGAATGTTTATTAAATGATCTTTTCACGAGCCTCAGTTTTATAAAGAATACTTCATTTTAACCAAGAAAGAAATGGACTCGATATTTAAAGCTTCTCAAATGTAGGCGGTAAATACCTGTTATAGAACGCAAGGAAAGACACAATCTTTTAGTTTGTAAAAATTGATTTATTTCCAATTTGGTATTTTAAAATTGTATCTGAGATGTCTATGTTTATATATTTCCCTGGAAAGCATTCTAGATTTGCTTAAATATGGAGGCAAAGGGTCAAGAACCTGAGTAAATCTGAATTTAAGAGATTTATCTGCTGCTACAGTCAGTGAAATTTTTTAACTCCCTGAGAATTAATGTCAAAAATATTTTCATACACTCAAATTTAAGAGAAAACCGTTTTTAAGAACACAGGAAATAAAGAACAGAGCTACAATTCCTTCCCACAAGACCACATGCCACTCTTCCGCAAACTATGAGTGTGTGTGGTTGCACCTGAATTTACATGTGCGCCTAAAGAGACTAAAATGTTCTAGTCCCCTTTTTTTTTTGTGGTTTCTCAATTGAAAAGATATTCTTGGAAACTGATAGCTAGTAAAAATCACTTTCTTCTTTCTAAGGTTCTTCGCGTTAAACGATTTCTGTTTTTACACAGTCTCTTTGGCATCAGCCACTTCATTCAGAATTGGGATAATTATAGCTCAAAGGAATGTATAAGGATGAAGGATGCCTATTTGACACTGGGATCTGCGAGAGCATTTTCTCTCCTTTGGAGGGAACAATACCCCTATGCTCTGCCAAACCAAATGCAATTACAATACATCTCTTCATGTCCTTATTATAATCAGTTAACACTCTAGAGAGTCACCATTCACTCTTGAAGTACTTCCTACACTTCCTTGAGATGCAAGAAAATGGCAATTCCTGTCTCCCTCACAGTTCCTAAGGAGATCACAACCAATAAGTTAAGCCAAAGTGAAACCACATAAACTAACCACTTTGCATGAAGATACAATTTTCTCATATACACCCCACACAGTAGTCAAATTTTCTTTTGGGAGGGACTTATATACCATCAGGGAGAAGTGTTTATTTGCATAAAGTCTGAAGAAAAAGCAGTGTAATTAAATCTTAAAACAAACAAACAAAATGAAATAAAGCCATAAAAACCCATGCTTTGGGGTCCCTTCTAAAGCCCTTTTCAAAACACAAAGGTAATCAAAGTCTCCCCCTTCTTGAAAGGACCCAAACTTATGCTAACAGGGAGTGTTCTCGAGGGCTGTTTGGAAAGTAGTGTTGAAGGCCTTCATTTCTGAATACTTCTTTTTATAGTTACTGATTCCAAAAGGGAAGAAATTTTAGGGACTCATACAGAATATTGCATTAATCAACTTAAGAATTTAGAAAGATTTGATGACACCAATCTTTCCCGGGTCAGACACGGGCACCATGGAGCTGCCTCGGCTTTCATAGACATCCGGCTCATCGCTTAGACATTTACGTTCTGTTTTGCTCTTGGAGGGTCAGTTATTCTTCTGTTTGCTGTGTGTGTGCACTGGATGTGAACTCTGAACAAATACGAAAACCTCCTCACTGTGTATGAAGACAAAAGCTGGGCTTAGGAATCTCATGTGCCCTTCTTCCAGCAACTCCCACTTACTATGGGTAAGATATAGGAAGCCTCCTTCAGCAGGAGAGGCGTAAACAGAATGTGAGATAACCCTTGCCATGAGGGAAACTTCTGCATACGATGTCCCAGCAATAACCTGACACATTACAGCAATGTCTAACATAGTGTTTGCTGCCTTCGGTAAGTAAGCTCTGATCTTGACTTGTCTAGAGTTAGTTGCTGTAGAAGAGCCTTGTTTCCTGACCCAGTCATGGCAGGAGCCACCAAAACTCCAAAATGTAAAAAACCAAAGAGAATACCACAGATAAAAACAGTGAAAGCATGCACACCGGAAGGCCCGGGGTAGACCCAAGAGCATCTTGGGATAACCGACCAGAAGTGTACACTGGACAAAATGAAGACTCCTGGGGAAGAGCTGACAGCAAGCTCGAAGGAGAAAAAGACTTGAGGCTCTGGCAAGCATAGAATGTGACAGATACCACATAAAGAAAAACAAACACAAAATTACGGCCGATAAGCAGAATGTCTTGAGAGCTCAGATTTAGTAGAAGTTTTTTTCCTAAAACCTCATTTAAAAAAAAAACTCAGAATTTGCATATTTATAAAGAAGAAATAAGTCACAGTTGGCGAACGAAGGAGCAGAATGGACCGTTTCACCATCTCGAGGCACTGACAGTCCAAGTTCTCTCCGGGTTTAACAAACCAGGGGCGACCATACCAGAAATAGACGAGGAGTTAAATTAGTTAGAAAAGGGGAGGAAAAAAAAGTTAAGGTAGGACATTAAAATTTTATTCTGAAATTATCTCTGGCCACAACAATAAAATTTAACAAATTTCACTAAACAGTCTTACCCCGTCATCAGCCGTACAATACATACAGTATCATAGAACTGGCCACTAGGATTCCAACCCACTAGAACACTTTCCATGTCAAGTGGCGACAGCAGCATCTCACAGAAGTTTGTACATACATATATACACAGTCCACATTCAACCATTTCACATATGTTCAGTACACACCGTTGCAGCATGATAACAGTCACGTGTCTGAGTTGTTGCTCGATAAAAACCCGAGCCACGGCCTAGACATAACTGTACCAGTTGAGCTGGGTATAATTACAATGAATTATATGTGTCCATATCAGAGATGCACAGCCCCTAAAAACAGAGTCCACAAATACTTTTGCTTCTAAACGCTACCACAGCATTGTGTGGGGCAATATTAAAACCTTCACCAGCCAAATCAGTTGGTTTGTATTTTAAAAATCTTCTGCTTACCAGAAATAGTCTTGATGAAAAAAATTACAAAAATGAATGCTCTCTTTAAAATAATTCATGCTTTTTAAGATTCCAATATGGCCCAATGCTACCGATGCCTAAAGTGTTTTTAACATTCTGATGGGGCCACTTGACATGACTCCACACCACCCAGTAAGTTTAAAAGTGGCTTAAGTGCCTTGCACCCAAATTGTAAAAATCCCTGGCCATCCTCACTAGAGCCAGGCACATAAAAAAAGGAATGCACTTTGGTTCATACCAAATGCCCTGGGATTAATCACACTATAAAATAAAAGGTTTGAGGTAAATTTTTACAAATACAGTTGATTTTTGTCTAGTGTTAGCATAACAAAAAAATATCATTTAAAAAATCAGTCTGATGTTCAGATACAACAAAGACCATCTTTAACCCTTTAAACACAGGGATTCCTGATGTAACTAACCGATGGTTATCTTGCTCAGCGCCCAAGGACGATTCACGCCTTATGGTTTCTATTAAGGCCTATAAATCTAGATATTTAAGACAGATGTTATCTTTGCAGAGGTGGCTTCCATCATTACTACCTCTAGTTCAAAGAGTTAAAGAGGCCAAAAGATGCATGCCCTACAACATGGCATCCAGAACAAAAGGCACATCGTTAACACTAAGGGCACAATTTCTCCTGTAAGATGTTAATCTACACTGCCTTGCATCACTCAGTGTTCCACTGTTGTGCTAAGAACTCTGGTAGTGCAGGAGACGGAGCCAAATGAGACTGCAACCAAAGACAAGACGACACTGTGCTATTCCTAAACCTGAAAACAGCTCAGACCTCCCTAGACAATGGTAACCTGCGAGCCCAAGGACCGCTTCCAAGCCAACTCCTAGAAGCCTATCAGAGCCCTTTATTTAGGTTTTAAGATCCCCAAGAGGCAACAGTTTCGTTTTAGACACAATAATTAAATAGGATTTTCTCAAAGCAGCTGTATCAGTAAATGTTGAAACATGGCGGCTTTCGTGAATAAAAGAAATTTCATGTGGTTGGGGGAAGAAAAAAAGAGAGAAAAGAAGGAAGGAAGGAAGGAAGGAAGGAAGGAAGGAAGGAAGGAAGGAAAAGCCCCATAGCACATCATAGTTTGGCTTCAAAGTTTCCGGTTGCATTTGTGGATAAAGCTCATCACAAATGTTCTGCTGGCATCAGAAGAACCAGTTTTGTGTGGTGGGGGAAACAGACAAGCAATTTTAATCCACGTCTAAACTGCTGCGAGTATAGCTGTGTTATCGGGGAGTTGGTAGCAGCAGGCTCAGGCTCAAACTAGGTGGGAGTGGGAGCAAAACAGGCGCCTTGGGAAGGGAGAGCAGCTTTTGTAGATTTTAAATTTATTTTAGTGACCTGAAGACACTGACCATCACTAAGAGACTCATTGTTTTCCAAAAGTCCCCAGACCAAATCCTGTATTTCTCATGCCTTTCAGCCAATGTTTTAAAAATAAATACACAAAATTTTAAGTCCTATAAGCCACTGATTGGGGGTCCTGTCACATGAGCATCATCTAAAATGTAACTTACTGACGTAGTATTGCACTTCACAGATTACACAGAAATGTGTAGAATATGCTAAAGAATCCAACTAGGGAAACAAGCTATCATTGCTAAGTACAGAAGGGACAAATTAATCTATCAATGGCATCCTTAAATAGTAAAGCAAACAGCGATATCGCTAACTTATTAATAGCTAATCTTATTACTGATTTTTGGCAAATACTTGAAATAATTCCTGAGCATAGTTTTCCACCATCAACTGGCAAAGCCTCAAGATAAGAAAAATGTTTTATTCAAAATGACTTTCTGTTTGTTTGTGGGTTTTTTTTTTTGGTTTTTTGTTTTGTTTTTTGTTTTTGCTTTTGATTTTTTTAAATAAGAGAAAACATAGAATTAAAAAAACAAACAAACAAAAAACAAAACTTAACCGGAAACTTTCTTGGCCTCACTGGGGACCATGCTTTAAGTACATGTAAATCGATTTACAGGCAATACAATAATATCTGTGCATATAAAAGATTATTTATCCTAATTTTTACTATCCAAAACCTACTGTCCAAACAGGCAGAAATCTTTCTCTATTAAATTGCACATACTAAAAAAATTCTTTTCACGTGCCTTGAAATTGATATATATCACTGTTCATCTTTTAGTGATAAAATACTGAAATTTTCAGTGTGAAAATAATTATTATTCAGAGAAGAAAATATTCTTTTACCTAACTCTCAGTTACTCTTTCAGGTAAAGTGTCATCCCCACAAAAACACTCAGTGCAATCCAAAAAGAAAGTAAGTAAACAGAGGGATGCAGTTTCCATGGCTCTTCTAACAAATCAAAGAATAAGTCAAACCATTTAACTCAAGATTGAATTTCTCCTCCCTTCAATGTGTTGTTAAAACTGGCCCAACTGAATGGCCACAGTGACTTCTCTTTGCCAAGAGGATTTTCAACCCTTTTGCTTTCTAAGGAGAGTTGATTGATGTTTTCCCAGGCTGAGGGAACCTCAGCGACGCCTACAAGTGTGAACTCAGTCCAGCCGGCTAAACCTTCTTTGGAACTATGGAAATCCCCCTTAGGTAGCTAGGCCGATGTTCTTTTGGAAACTGAGGCATGAAACTCTGGACATAATAGCAGCTGAAATGGCTCTCTGCATTAACAGTCCGGGATAGACAGCTGGAGGAAAAGGACGCACTAAATGCAAGCGACAGATGTGTGAAATAAAGAGGACAGAGACAAGAGAAAGGGAAACAGGGAACAGTGGGGAAATGTCCTAAAATTAGGTGAAAAACCAATTCCAAAACCAGGCGGCTTCCTGATTATGACAGCTTCCCATCTTCCCAGAGCCTTGGGAGGAATTCACACGTCTCAATTTCTACTTAGCTACTAAACATTGCCTGGTGGCTGCAGAACGTCAGAATGTTAAATGGGCAGTTGAAACCTGGGCAATCTAGTTTGTAATTGTCTGAATACACCATAAGAAAAAAAGACAATCTCTAAAGTGCAGCTTTTCCTAGAGATTTTCACACTGACCCTTCTTCTTCCACTTCCGCTCTGACCCAGGTTAATTTACAAAATTTGGAAGCAGGGTGTGCAGCTCCTGTGTGAACCCGGAGCACGAAGAGAGAAGGAGGGTCCCCGGGGGCCACCTCCCTGGAAAGCATAGAGGACAAACCATGAAAACATCTTGAATGTGTTTGACCAATCTGTAAATGTGTGGCAGTCATGAAAAAAACCAATGGCCTGCCACTGATATGATGATCACTCAGCCACACGAAATACAGTAAGGCTCATCTTACTTTTAGAACACAAGGAAGGGGGAAAAAAACAGTTTGAGAAAGTATAAAAACTTAAAGCATTGTCCCCATGTATTTTATAAAAACAAAACAAACTGTCTTACATCAAGTGCTGAAAAGATACAAATGAGTCGAGTTTTTTGAGCAAATAAAAACAGGTCTGAGCTACACTTTTCAACCCAATAAGGCTCAGCTATAACGCATTTTTCAGCTTGCCAGCATTAGGGGACTGGAGCTCAGCTAACGAGTTTTGGCAACACTGTCCTTTGCTGAATATTCCCATTGGCATCTGTCATCTGTGCCAAATTAGTCCTCAGCTTGGAAGCTGAGCTGGAAGGTGGAGGTAACTTGGAAATCGACGTGATAGCACCAGTGCTGTCCGTGACCCTCTTCACCGCAGTCTTCTCCCCGGTCGGAGGCTTTGGCAAGCGCCTCCTGAGCCAGGGGTGCCGCAGAGCCTGGCCCGGGGTCATGCGGACTGCGGGATCCCACTCCAAACACTGTTTTAAGAAGTCAAGGAAAAGAGGATCATCGCATCCCTTCAGTGCGTTCCCCCACTCTCTGCTCTCTGGCGGACCCCTCAGTTTCCCTCTCCGGGATCGGCCTCCATTGAGGACCACGGAGCCATCTGAAAGAGTCGTGACAGTGCAGTAGCGGGGGTAACCCTTGGAGCTCACGAAATTCTTGGCTCGTTTGGAAGCATCCAGGAGTTTCTGGGAGGGCATGCCCAAAAGTTCAATCATACAAGCTAGCTGGTCCCCTTCATCCTCCCCAGGCAAGAGGGGGTAACCCGTCAGGAGTTCCGCAAGGATGCAACCCAGGCTCCACATATCAATGGGCATGCCATACCTGGCTCCAAGGATCACTTCCGGAGCCCGGTAAAAGCGCGACTGGATGTACGTGTAAACACGCTGGTGCTCATAACAACTGGAGCCGAAGTCAATCACTTTAATACTGCTTCTACCCTGCTGCTTTAACAAAATGTTCTCGGGTTTAAGGTCACAGTGGATTATTCTGTTTTTGTGCAGCGCATCCAAGCATTGCAGAATCGAGTGAGCAAACTTGCGCACCAGAGGCAGGCTGAAGCCCTGGAACTTATTCTTCTTGATGAGCTCGTAGAGGTTCATGCTCAGCAACTCAAACGTCATGCAGATGTGGTTGCGGAAAGTAAAATTCTCCAGCATGTGGATGACGTTCATGGTGTTGTCCTTATCCTGTTTCCGCAGGTGCTCCAGGATGCGGATCTCCTCTGCCGCCTGCCGGTGGAAGCGCTTCTCGTTGCGCACCATCTTCAGGGCCACATGCTGGTGGACTTTGTGGTCATAGGCCTTGACCACCTGCCCAAAGCTTCCCTTCCCAATGACTTTGAGGACCTCGTACCTGTAAGCCACATGATCATGGGGCACCTGCACATATGATCCCTGGTCATCATCATAACCACCGTTGTTGGGTCCACCTGTCATGCCTTGGCGCTTCTTAGCATTTGGACCCAAGAAATATATTTCAGGGTAGCTAAAGATCTCATGGTGTTCAAAGGCCGTGAGTTTTTGCATGTATTGCTTCATCGCTTGTTCGGGCGTCATGGGGGTGGCTTTCATCTTCCCCATGCTTTCCATGGACTTCAGAGAGGTGGAACTCCCCTGCCGTCTGTGAATGCCGTCCAGCTGCCGCTCTGGCACCACAGGCAAGCCTGTCTTGCCCACTGTCGTAAGCCCATTTGGCTGTGTTGTAAGCACTGTCCTTTTGTTACTGTTATCCTCAAACAGCTGCTGAACCTGGATCTGCCCGTGGCTGTGGCTGCTGATGTGGAGGTGGTCATTCATGGTGTGCCTCCCGCCGCCAATCTGGAATTCAGACGAGAAGCATCAACATAAAAGGAAGGGGCCCTTCTCTCCAAACGTAATCTTTGAAATCTGTCCTCATTACCCGACTCCCAATTGGGCATGAACCCACAGCCACAATCAGTTTTACTACTCCATGGGAAGTGCTGTGAACCCAAGATGTCCCGTGCACACACCAGCAGAGAGAATGAATGGGATGTTTACAGGCAAGACAGTGAAGGAGAAGGGGGACAGCAGGATGGGCAGGGTTAGGAAACACAGGACAGACAGCTCCAGAAATGCAACAGGTACACAGCCTGGCGGCAGGGATCAGGCCTTCCTATTATCATTCTGCACCTAGCATTAAACAGGCGGCCTGGCACGTGGCAGGTGCTGTAAGCCATATCTGATCTGGAAATGAGGCAGGTGAGGCAAAAACAAGTGTCATCCGCACTGCAGCCCACACCCGGGTCACGGGACCTCCCTCGTTTCATGAGGCACTCTTTATTTATATGAAGATGGGGAAGCACCTTTGTCCAGCACTCCCTCACGTATGGAGACCTCCTCCAGAAACTCTGTTTATTTCCTTATTCCCTAGGAGGTCTAATTAACCTGGGAACGCACACGGTAACCAACAAAATATGCTTCTACAGAGTCTCACGTGGACATGTGTGCCTTGTTCCCATGCAAGCCTCAAGTTTCTGGGTGTCACTGACTTTAATCAGTTAAGGTCATTCTGCCCAACAAGTTGAGCAACTTCCATTCAGTTTGGGCCTCTGGTCCACGACTCAGTATCCATGCATGTATTTCTATCTCTTCAGGCTGCTGAGACACTCAGCTTCTCAATAAGGAATAACATGATGCGAATTCTGCACCTCGACAGGATCCAGATGCCACAGGAGGCACACCACTGAGCACGGCCCCTAGAGTTTCTAGCCTGGGGAAGCTGGGGTGGGAAGATCCAGTCTGTATTTGGTGGGCTGGGATCCCAGACTGAGGAAACAAAGTGAGCCAAGCCCCAGCGCTCCCCTCCCTGGGCTTCCTCCCTGCGGAGGCAATGTGATCCCTAAGCTACCCTGCTCACTGCCATGACAGTATAGCCCTTCTTAAATTGTCAGCCAAAATACACTCTTCCTCCTTTAAGTTGGCTCACGACAAGTATTTGCTCAGAGCAAGGGAAACAGTAACCAATACAAATACAAACTGGCAATTTCTATTTCTGGCACACATGCCATCCCAGAATAGTCCTGTCTAAACAAAACTGACAGGGCAAAGGCAGAGCCCCCATTCTCCCACCCTGCATCGGCTTGGGATTTCCTTCAAGCAGTCTTCTGGGGAAATTTTTCCTTGAGGTCTCAAAAAACGGCTTGTCATCATAATCCACCTCACTCCTTCAACCAGTATTAATGAGGGAGTAGCTCCAAAGTGGCTGAACTCTGCCCACTGGGATCGACAGTAAGACGAGTCCTTTGCATCCCTGTTAAGTCCCCTCTTTGGGGGTATTTGCACTCCTGAAAGGAAGAAGCACTGGAGAGCAGGGTAGCGAGTCAAGAAATGCTTTGGGAACACCTGGATTATAAAATGACATTTCAAACCTTCCTTTCTAGCAGACGATGATGTTCACCTTTTTTTTTTTTTAACTGAAAAGCAGCAAGCATTATGGCCATTTATGGAGGAGGCTCTGCTCACTCCTAAAACAGAAAGAGGCCAGAATGGGCCTGACTATGATATCGCAAGATCAAAAATTTTATTTTCAGAGAGACTTGTAGCAGATTTCACTTACTGAATGCAAAGATGATACGTCCATGTAAGATGACTTCATATTCCACTAAGGTAGTTGGCATCTTTTTCTACTTCAGAAGCAAGGCAGTCCATCAAAACCATTAGGAAAGCCTTGAGCATACATAAAAGTGACACCAACTTGCTTATTCCTCTTTCCCTCTCTCCTTCCTCCCCTTTTCTCTGTCCTTTCCTTCGCTTTCCCATATTTTTAAGATGCCAGTTAGGCAAGAACTTGCTAGCAAAAGCTATCTCTGGGAAAAGAAAAAAAAATCAATGTAAACACACACACACACACGCACGCACGCACGCACGCACACCGCCCACCTCTCAAGAGCTAGGTGGTTAAGCGCTCCACTGGGCCCTCATCAATCCACTGTTTTTCTTTCAAAGCCTCATGCACTCCATGCTTGCTTTTCCTCTGTCACCTTTCACACACTAGCAATGAAAGGACTCCAGATTTGAACTCTCTCTTCAGGGTAAGATGGGGGGGAGGGGGTATGGTATTTCAGAAGAGTAAAGGTTACCCACATCTACACAACACATGAAGCACACTTAGGACACAAATCAACCTTGGGATTCCTAAAATGTTAGCACAATAAAACTTTCTGGGGGAGGGGGAGGGAAATGGGAGGAGGAGAGGAGGTGAAAATTTTTAAGTAAAAATAAATAAAAATAAATAAGAAAAAACATTCTGAGCATCAAGAATTTAGGATATTGCAATCCATTTTTGTATAAAGCACAGTATTGTGTCAAATATTTTAGTGACTAGAACGACAGACTTGCCCACCACCTCACTTCCAACTGTCTTCTCTTGGTCTCCTGTGGCAGTGGCAGCTATAACGGCTTGCTGATAGGTGGGCCTAAGCTGCCACTCTCTTGGTTTTCCACTCCTACAATTTCCTGGTTGATCGTGCCCACAGCCAGTGTGGTGGGAGCACCCACTATTGGCTGCAGTCCCTCCTGTGTCCTCTTGCAGACTTGCCCATCCATGCCTCCTGGACTCAAGCCCCATTGCCCAAATGCCAATGAGTTTCCACTCCCACAGGCCACTCGAACAAACAAACTCAAAGCTTTTCTTTATGAAGGCAAATGTTTTCTTGCTATCATAATCCTCAACTTAAAAAAAAAAAGGAAAGAAAAAAAAGAAAACCTCCTCTTTGCAAATAATTGCTCTGGCTGAATATCAGTGTATATACCTGGAGAACACTCAGCATCTGCCCCCTTCCCACACTATCATGAAGTCTTCTGTGCCCACTCACTTCTGCCCTTTCTATCGGTTACATTTCACCGTATACTGCTGTTTGTCCCTGTGACAACTGAGGCAGATATGCAGGCAGACTCAGACAGACACACCACACACACACACACACACACACACACAGTAGCCTAAACTCCTCAAATCTTTCTCTACAGCGCTTTCCTGAGTCAGCACTGCCCATCTGAGACTGCTCTTGCTTGTGGCCCAGAGCTACAGCCCACTACCCCTGATAATCCTGCTACTACGATGTAATGAGACCACATCTCACCATATGTGGAAGAGCATTCCCCTAAGAGGAACAGGGCCAAACCCCCAGGACCCAGGGATATTTGCATGTTCACACTCCTCTTGTGGGTGAAATCAGTTTTATAAGAGCCCAGATATTTTTCACACGGGAAACAAATCAGGCTCAGCCAGTCACTGTGTGACCTTGGGTAATTTACCTTATCTCTCTGAACTGCAGCGTCCCTGTGTGCCTTGCCCCAGAAAAGTTCTGTGCTACCTCTCTAGGGCTACCAGGGAGAGTAGAGATGGTGTGTGTGCATGTGTGCTTGTGTGCGTGTGTGTGCTTGTGTGTGTGTGTGTGTGTGTGTGTGTGTGTGAAGTCTGGGGCACAGTACTTAGCAAGTGGCAGCTCCTACTACTACCCTTCTCTGATGCTGCTTCCGAGCCCCTTCCTTCCACTGTTCAGATGACAAGCTCCTACTCACTCTCAATGCCCAGAATCTACTAACCCCCCTCGCCACCTACAGTAACCCGTTTCATCATTAATGCGCTACAAAAAATTATGGGGTGGGGAGGGTGGTCACTTTTTTTTAAGTCCCCATTAACATAAACTCAGGTACATACACAGTAAGTACTGGCTATCTCTTGAATAGGTGCACGCATGTCAAGAAATGGCTCTTGAAGTCATTCTTCAGCCATAGTGTTTGCATCTTCAAAAGAAAACATGAAGTCAACACTGAGGGAGTTGGGAAATATCCCAAGAGGCTCGAGTCACAAGATCCTGCCGGGCCTCCAAGGCAAAGGATCGCTGGTTCAAAAGTACCCATAGAAGATATTTTGCAACACCCAAGAGTCTTACACATTCCAGGAGTTAAAAGATATTTACTTGCAGTTCCAGTTAAAAAAAGGATTGAGGGTCCCCAACAGTGAGGACTCTGAAGTCACAAGCAAAATCAAACGCACAAAACTGATACATACTGGGAGGAGCACCCAGAAAAGACAGATCTGCTAGGACCATATCAGAGCCTCAAGGACACTGCAAACCCTTCCCTCCCACTTCAGCCTTTTGAGGTCAGAAACCCTGCACCGGGCCTATTTGCTAACGTAGTATATAACATGTCACAGAAACAAAGAAGAATACAAGCAGAAATGCGGGCACTGGTTTAAATACTCACAACTGGATGTGTTAAAGTGGAGAGACCTCCAAACTACTCCTCTAATCATGAGATGTTTTAGTACTGAAAATTCTGTATGAACAGAAGTCTAAGAAGTCTGTAGAGCCTTTTCTCTTGCGATATCAAAATGGCAAGAAACACATGCTTCCATATATGGTGACTTCTGGGTGGGTATTTTAAGACCTCCCAAAGTCATCTTAGAAATATTGGGGGTTGTTATGGAAATAATGTTGAGGAGTTTAAAAAGAATCACTGATGAGTGATTTAAAGAATCAAAGTTATAAAAATATAGACCAGTACTTAGGAATTTATAGAAATGAAAAGATTTAAAAATATTTTGTTTTCTCCCACATACTGTTATTTAAAAAAAAATTAACGAGAAGGATACTTATTGGTTTTACTTTTAGGACAAATTGACCTAAACGAAATTACCACAGTATAAGTCACTCAAAAAGTAGAAAACAAAACGAACACGGAAAATTCCAAAGCTCCTGACTGTGTCATGTGTTTGGGGGCAAAATGAGGAAAACTCCTGGAAAAGGCCATTTTTCAGTGAGTACCCTTTCTCTCCTCATTCCACAGCAGTTCTTTCCAATGCACATGTAAACATGTAAACACTCCTGAGAATGTGGGCCGCATGGGAATAGAAGTCTGCAAAGGCTCTAGGATTTAAGACAAAGCTCATACTGGTTTCCAGAACTAGCCCCAAGGAGCGCTTTGCAGCTCAGTTAACCTGTGGAGTCTGTAGCCTCCTGACTGGCCTTGGTCTGGGGAACCCGTATTGTCACACAAACCAACTCAAAACTAACAACATTGGAAACACAAAGCCTCATTTTCAGAACCAAGCACAGTCAGATCAACTGAAATGTACCCTCAGTTAAAAACAGCCCAACACACCACACACACAGGCCCCAGCAAAACACCAGCATCTCTCCAGGGAAATACCTTCCCATCTTCTCTTTTCTGGTGCTCCACAGCCTTCTGTGTTCCTGGCAAGTTTTTCTTCTCCCATTTTAATACATATTTCAATTGCAAGGAAGTTCTGACCAGGTAAAGGTCACCCTTAAACAAAACTGGGAATCAGATGAAAACCAAGTCATCTTTTCCACTTCACATCCATGTCACATGATCACATCAACACGCTGGGGGAGAAAAATGGATGTTGTATTTCCCAAACTGTCAGATGATTCTAAACCAGTCAAAACAACAGAAAAGCTAAACCTCTAAAACCAATGGTGGTGGGTTCCTGACTAGGTGCCCCTATCACAATAACATCCTTCCTACCTGTGTGTAATGAATCCCCAGCCCCTAGGATAGACACACTGAGACAAACCAAATGAGAACAGCAAAACGTCTTCTGTGAAATTGGTCTACTGCTCTTCCATGGCTCCAATGACAACTGAAGTCTTTCCTTTCTTCCAGTCTTCCATAACAAACAAGTTTCAGTCACACACATGACCCCCAGAGATACTCCCAGCAGGTCACAAATGGTGCTTTCAAGCAACTTTCATTTAGCAACAAAATCGTATGCCCTGCATGCAACCTCACACAGAACCATCCTAGGGGGCTCGCACTCCCTAACAGTCTTTGGGAAAGAGATCTTTGAAACCGTCACCTTCTCCAAGCGCACATCTCCTCTAGACTTGAGGTCACCATCCAAAGGCCATCGCTGGGCACTGAGAAAAGGTACATGCTGAAGTCGAATCCAGCTTGCCAGTCTCTGCAGCCACCGATCTCAGACTCGGCTCTCCTTCCCCACAGGGCCTCAGGGACCACAGCCCTTGTCAGGTGCCCTCTTCCCTTGCCACCTACAAGGCAAAGCTGACCTTTTCCTTTTGAGTAATATCCATATAGAGAATACTGCAGAGGTGGGTTGTTTTGTTTTGACTACTACTGTGGTTCTTATTTTTGTTAATGTTAATTACAATTTCTGCTGTGCTCAAACCTGTAGCTCTCATAAAACATGCTTACACACGCGGGGGGACAATTGGCGGGTGCTCCCTGCTGGCTGGAGCCAGGCCTCGGAGGCTCTTTGGGGGATCGATTTTCCGGGCAGGGTGGCCTAGCTGTCCCCTAACACATATGTTTCTATAAATATCCACTACCCCTGGGGTTGGGAGGAGATGTTTACCGGGTCGGGGGAAGGGAGCTCTGGGAAGCAGAGATGAAAAAAAGAGGGGGGGAGGAAAGCCGCAAGGAGGAAGTTCCCAGGAAAAGGAGCTCTGGGGTGGGCGGGCTCCAGAGGGAAGCGAGGGGCCCAAGCCACGAATCTCCTTTGTGGCATCAGCACCGGGCTCGCCCAAGTTCCATAGGGCGGCGTCGAGGACAGGCGCCTGCCAGGGGCGTGGAGCACTCGGCCCTCTCTTCCCACAGTTAGGACCCCACAAGCCCAGAGTCTGCCTGCTGCCCTCCCGGAGCGGGGTCTCACCGTGTGGGCTGCGGTGGCAGCGTTGCTGGCCCGGAGAGGCGGCAGGGCGATGGGAGAGGGCGGGCCGGTCCCCACTCCGCTTCGGGGAGCCCCGGCGCCGATCCCCGGGGAAGCCTGAAGCTGGCGAACGGCGGTGTCCCCTCCTCGGCCTGGGAGCCACGCGCGGGAGGAGACAAAAGAGGGTCAGGGTGGGGAGAAGAGAGCCACCCAGACCCCCGCCCCCGCCCCGGTGGCCAGCGAGCACCCTCTTCCCAGGAAAAGATGGCAGGAGACACCCGGCCCGGGAAATGCCGGCGGCGTGCGGGAAACGAGGGGGGTCGGGACGCTGCTCCCCGGCGCGCAGCCGCCAGCTGCAAAGTTAAGTTCGCGACCCGGCTGGGAGCAGCGCTGAGCCAGAGATCCGTGGCCCACGTCGCCGGGCCGGGGGAGAAAAGGGTGGGCCACCGAAAGGGCGCAGCGACCGACCGGGCCGCGCTCCGGACGCCCCTTGCCCAACCTGCCGGATCCTGGGATCCCTGGAAACCCACGCGCACCGCCCGTGCCCCGCGTCGCTGACAAGGTCCGGGAGCTCTTACCGGTCGGGTAGGCGGCAGGAGCGGCGGCTGAAGGTTTCCTGGTTAACATGGCCGCGGGAAAGGAACGTGCATGGCAGGGCTGCCCTCGCCGCCGGTCCCGCCGCTACTCGTCGCCGCCGCCGCCGCCGCCTCCTGGTCGCCCCTCACGCGGGTCCCCCGCGCCTTGTTGCCTCCTCGCGCCCGCTACAGCCAGACACACACAGTCCGTTGCATCCCCTCGGCCAGGGCCCGCCGCCGCGAGCCCCCCGCTCTCCTCCTCGCCGCCGCCGTCCCCCTCGTCCTCGGGCGGCTGCTGTACCCCCCGGCCCATGCACATGCCTCGCCCTCCCCTGCCGCACCGCTGGCCTCCCCGATTCCCTCACATCGGGGCCGCGGGGAGCAGGCTGCGGCCGCCGGGACCCACTCACTCGGGAGCCTCCTCCCGGGCCCGCGCGCGTCCGCGCACACTCGCACACACGCTCGCACCCGCGGCTCGCTCCCGAGAAGGCCAGCCCCGCCCCCGACGAGGCCCCGCCCCGGACTCCCCCGGCCCCAGCCACACAGGCTCGCTGCCACCCCACCCCCACCCGCCACCCCGGGAGTCCCTCCCCCTCCGATCTTCCGCAGAGCCGCCCTCCGCTCCCGGGAAAACTGCGGCTCCGGCTCGCCCTCCGCCTCCCCTGCGGCCATCTGCCCGCTTCCCGGGTCCCCCGCGTCCCTGCGACGCCCCTCCCCGCACTGCCGCGCAACCTACCGCGGCCAGCCTCCTCCCGAAATTGCTGCAGAGATCCCTCCTTCTCCCATCACTCCCCTAAACACCACTCCTAATGGCTGCTCCCAGACAATACTGTGCCCCCACCCCGCGGCCCCCGTCCCAGCCCCTCAGCCATCCCCTCTCCCCCATGTAATCAAGGAGAGAACTTAGTTGTATAAGGGTCACCTCGGAAAGTCAGGCCCTGAGGAGGGACTGCGGCTGAGGCTGGCGACCCAAGCATGGACGAAGGATGGGGCTGCCCTGCCACCTCCCGCTGGGCCACACACGCCCTCCCTGATTTACTGACACCAAGTGACCGCTGCCCTCCAGTTGCTAGGACAAGGGGAGTCAGACGGGCGCCTGTGGACCGCAGCTGGGGTAGCAGTTGGCGATGGGTTGCTAGGCAAAAATAAACATCAGAGACACCTCCCATTTCTTTACAACTCCTAGCCTTTCCCCAGCACCGCCACTGGGAGAGACACGACACACCTTCTTTTCAGCAGCTATTGGCGGTCCACAAGGGTAGGGCACCTTTGGTTTCTCTTTTCCTTGGAGGAAAAGATCTTTTTCTTTTTACCTTCCTAGACATGTGGAGATATTCCCCGTCCTTTTCGTGTGTGGTCTACAGCCTCTGTTTCCCAAGAAAAGCAAAAATTTGCTTCCGTGTCTCACACCTGTGCTTTGTTGTGCATGGCACACCTGTGCACCTTTGTCCACTTCAACAGTCAGGTCTGGGGGAAAGTTCAAGGAATCCTAGCAGACAGGAAGGAAAGTTAAACCACCGTGCCTGCACTTCCTTTCTGGGAGGTGCCTAGTTTCTGAAGAGCTCCTGCAGTCTCCGTCCATTCTTTTCTGTCCTGCTCCTTGTGTCTCCAGTTGCCTGGATGATTTAGGAGTGCAGGCCCGGACTAGTGCAGACTTCAGTCTAGAGGGAGCTACCTCCTGCAGAGTTCCATGGGCTCTGTTGTTTGCACATTGTCATAGCAACCTCCCACAAAGATCACCTCAGCTTAATACAAATGCCAAAAGAACCATTCCGCAGTACAGTGTGACCCTCTCAGGCTCTGGGCTCTTACAGAGCAATACCGGGAGGGCTCGCCGATGTGGAAATCCTTGGTAAAAGGAATTCCACTTTCGGAGAGAATGAGAGATAGACAGACACAAAGAGAGGCAAGCAGACGGAGACTAACTTCCTCAATTTCCTTCCTTCCTTCCTTCTTCTCTCCCTCCCTCCTTCCCTCCCTCCCACCCTCCCTTCCTTCTTTTTCCTTCCTCTTTTGGGGTCCTTTCCCAAGAAAGTAGAGCCACGGTAGTGTATTAATAACCAGTTCATGCTCACGGCACCTTTAAATGAATCGTGACCTAAATTTCCCCAAGCAAGAAATCCCTCCCTGGGCTTATCACAACTGTCTATCTACATTCAAACCCATAGGGAGAGCTTGTGTAGAGTTCACAATTAACTAACGGAAAAGGGCTACTGAGTAGCAGAAACAAGGCTACAATGTATTTGAGACTCTCAGTGTGGTTTCACTTTTGTTCCCCTAGCAGGCACTTTTTTGTATGTGTGTGGTTTTTAGAGACAGGGTTTTGCTGTAGATTTGGAGCCCATCCCAGACCTAGCTCTTGTAGACCAGGCTGGCCTCGAACTCACAGAGATCTGCCTGCCTCTGCCTCCTGAGTCCTGGGATTAAAGGCCTGAGCCACTACCTCTAGGCTACCCTGAGCACTTTCAAGATAGCTCACATAGCTTTCCCCCTTCCTCTTTCTAAACAATTATTTTCTTGCCCTCTCCCTTGTTGGGTATTCTATACTACTGATGTTCAAATCATGGCTTTAAAAAGATCAATTTCAGTATCAAATTATCCATACAATATTTCAAACACCATTGCTTTTACATAAATAAGATATATACTAAAGTAAGTAGGCTAGTTTGAATTCTAAATTAATAGTATTCATGGATTAAAAATAAGGGGAAAGGAACAAATTTTTTACAAAGAAACAAAATGATTGGCTTTAAAGGAAAGGATATACATCATGTTTGGTGAAATAGACTAGACTATCTTTTGTTTTTTGACAATTTCACAATGCAAATGGTATTGATTATATCCACCCCAACTTTCCCCATCCTATACCCAGGATCCAAGCTGTCTCCACCAACTCCTAACAAGTGCTGCTCCCTCTTGATCTCTCCTTTTGTGCTTTTGTTTCCTGTAAGCCAGTGAATCCAGCTAGCCCTGTCTGATAAACCATGAACTGCTCTTGTCTGGGGTGGTTGTGCAGGTAACATTGCTCCTGGGGATTTATGGGTGTAATGACCACACCATGTCCAGCAGAAAGCAATTTACAGCTTTCTTCCCAACCCTCTAACTCTTCCAGTCTTTCTGCCCCATCTTCCAAGATGTCCTCTGAGCCTTGGAGGTCAGGGCTGGTAAGGATTCCCCATTTATAGCTAAGTGACACTTATTCTCAGTGCTCAGTTGCTGGATTAACAGCCGATCACAGATGTGAAACTTGATTCAGGGCAAGGACTTAACCACACTACTCTATGTATAAAAATGTAACTATTGAGAAGCAGTTTGACAAGTGTCAATTTAGCGAGACAATTAGTGGTAGGGTTCTCCCTAGGAAGTAGGTTTCCCCAAGACACATTGTTCCTGGCAGATTAATATCGTAGCATGCAGGGTTCATTGTTACGTAATATCACTGATGGTACTTCTTCTCCAGTGGGTCTGTATACAACCTTCTAGCACTACAAAAGCTAGCCAGCAGGGGAAATATTTTCAGGTCAGTTCCACCGTGACTGTATCCTACAATCAAAGCGTCTTGTGTCTTCAGCAGTAAGCTCTTACTCCAGAGTTCTGATGGGCAATCATGAGCAATGACAATGACCTATGTTGTTTTGGGTGCCTCTGGGGTCTCCTGACCAATAAATCAATAGGAACATAGATAGATGGTAAGTAGGAAAGTAGGTAGGTAGGTAGATAGGTAGATGATAGATATATTTAAAGTTTTTGCAGTTCTGGTGGCTGAGCCTAGGGCCTGATATTGGGCATACACCCCTACAACTGATCTATACCCTGACCTGGGTTGTTGCTTTTTTTTTTTTTTGTCTGTTAATCTGTTGTTTTTCTTCTTTAAGTTTTTATTTTGAGACAGTCTCGCTAAGTTGGAGAGGCTGGCCTTGAACTTACTCTGTAGTCATGCGATACTTAACCTTGTGGTCCTCCTCCAGAGTAAGTGGAATTACTGCTCTACACCAAATAGGCCAAGTTTAAGATATTATTTTATGGCAGAACAAATGTGATTTCAATGGAGTGTGTGTGTGTGTGTGTGTGTGTGTGTGTGTGTGTGCATGCTTTGGGGAAATTTGCAGCCAACCTAATTTTTAGCTATTTTGATTATAAATGGCATACTTTTGAAAACCCTATTAATTCTTACTGAGTTCTAAAATAGCTGCACTTGTAATAGGAAGGCCACTTGTTTTTCCCAGCTGCCCAGAACCGAAATAACCACACAGAAACTATTAATTAAATCACTGCTTGGCCAATTAGCTCTACCTTCTTATTGGCTAACTCTTATATTAATTTAACCCATTTCTATTTATCGGTATATCGCCATGTGGCAGTGGCTTACTGGGGAAAATTCTCAGTGTCTATCTCTAGCGGATCCATGGTGTTTCTCCAACCCTGCTTTCTTCCTCCCACAATTCAGTTCCATCTTCCCTGCCTACCTAAATTCTGCTCTATCAACAGGTCAGGGCAGTTTCTTTATTCATTAACCAATGAAAGCAGCACATAGACAGAAGGACCTCCCACACCATTTGCATTCCCTTGTTCTGTTATGTGCTGGTGACCCAAGCCTTGATGACTGTCCAATAGAAATATAGGCTTTAGGGAAACTCAAAAATTCTGGGAGATACTGTCCCTGAACTGTATCAGTAGTAATTATACTATATAATCATATGATACTTGTATCTCTTCATTAAATGCTGTAACTAATATTTAATCTTCATAATCTGCAAGCAGACCAAAGTTGACTTGACTTTAGACATTAGCCCTCTCAGGGGCTCCATCCAGTTAACAACCCTGCTTTTTGACTTTTGCCCATTGTAGATCATGTATGTATTCTGGAATGTTTATGATCTCCAAAGCCAAAATTACAAGCAGGTGGGCAGATCTTAGCAAGAGGAGAAAGGGGAGCTCATGGGAATTTAGAAATGTAGCTGTAGAAAGAAAGTGATTTTATACTGGGAAAAATACCTATCACAGGACACAAAATGTTAATGAACAAGAAAATGGCTTCCAAGCACCCACTCTCTTTCAATTTCTTGATTCCAGAAGCATTTTCAAAGGCATCGAAGACAAAGGAATCATCAGACATAGCAGGCTAGATTTTAGTCTGATAATCTGTTAGGACATTTCTTTATTAATTTAAGCAAAAATGGTAATCAACTAGCATCCTTTGGACACCATTAGTGGTGGGATGCTAATGCCTGGATGCTTATGTCTCCCCAGAATGCATATATTCTGATCCTAGCCTCAGGAGGTGGTTCTTTAGTGGGTGATTTAATCCCAAGGGCATGCATTCACTTCCCTCAATACTGAGAATAGCACCTTTATGCAAAGGACCCCAGAAATCTTATAGCCTTTCCACTAGACGGGTCTATAGTGAGTGGTACCATCTGTGAATCAGAAAACGAGCCCTTGCTAAATGCTGAATCTGCTTCCCA